TTTCAATCGGATGGTTGCAAGATTTTTCATCAGGAGAAAGGGCTGATCTTTCATAGTTACATGAGCACGAATCAGATGTTTCCTATCAATGAGGAGGTCGATGTTGTTGCTGAACAGAAGACAAACAGGTGTATGTATACCAATGATGAAGATAATGCTCGGTTATGGCATGAACGGATGGGGCATCTCAGCAACACAAGTAAGGAGACACTTCAAAGGAAAGGTATGGTCCGTGATTTACCTCGGTTTCCTATCAATAATGTTATATGTGGAGATTGTATGATAGGAAAGCAAACCAAAACAGCAATTCCAAAGACAAGTAAGTGGCGAGCAGAAGAGATTTTGGAATTGATACACTCGGATATCTGTGGGCCTATAACACCTTCATCACACACTGGTAACAGGTATTTCTTGAGTTTTATTGATGACTATAGTTGCAAGGGTTGAGTATATTTGTTAACAGAGAAATCTCAGGCTCTTGAAAGTTTTAAACAATTTAAGAAAGGGGTTGAGACTGAAACATGAAAGGTTATTAAGGCTCTCCGTACAGATTGTGGTGGAGAGTACTTATCGGACGCCTTTACGAAGTTTTGCTTGGAACATGGAATTAAAAGGCAGCTTACAACCAGTTTTACACCACAGCAAAACGGGGTTGCTGAGCGAAAGAATCGAACAGTCATAAACATGGTAGTCTCGATGTTAGCAGCTAAGAATATGCCGAAGAAGTTTGGGCTGAAGCTACGATGTGGAGTTTGTATGTGCTGAACAGATGCCCGACTAAGGCCCTCACTGACATAACCCCTCAAGAAGCCTGGAGTGGAATCAAGCCAACAGTTCATCACTTTCGTGTTTGGGGCTGTTTAGCTTATGTTCAGGTGCCTAAAGAAAAACGAACTAAACTCGATAATAAAAGTTTTGTTTGTATTTTGACAGGAATAAGTGAGCAATCAAAGGCGTATCGCTTGATTGACCCACAAACAATGAAAGTGGTTGTGAGCAAAGATGTTCTTTTTGAAGAGCATAAGTCCTGGAATTGGAGTGAACCTGAGAAATGTGTTGATGATAAAGAGATCACTTGGGGTGACTATAATCTTCTCGATGAAGATTCAGAGTGTGTAAATGAAACCCCTTCTGATCAAGACAACGAAGCTGAACATAATGGGCAAATTGGTGTGTCTTCTGATTCTGGTCCCGGCATTCCAACAGTCGGGGAGGGAAGACAGCAAAGAGTGAGAAGGCGTCTCGCTTACCTGCGTGATTATGATTCTGGTGATGATCTCGATCTAGAATCAGATAATGAAGAGGTGAATATTGCTGATCTTGATGCTCAAGATCCTATTTGTTATGAAGATGCGGTCAAGGATGATAAGTGGAGGAAGGCCATGGAACTTGAAATTAAGGCAATTGAAAAGAATCAGACCTAGCGATTGGTAGATCTACCAAAGGGAGCCAAATGTATCGGTGTTAAGTGGGTTTTTAAAACCAAACTTAATGAAAGAGGAGAAGTTGAAAAACACAAGGCAAGACTAGTCGCAAGGGGATATGGCCAAGAATTTGGGGTTGATTATATAGAGGTTTATGCTCCAGTTGCAAGGATGGATACGATTCGTTTGATGATTGCTCTAGCCGCTCAAAAGGGTTGGAACATTTATCAAATGGATGTTAAATCCGCCTTTCTTCATGGAACATTGGAAGAAGATGTATACTTACAACAGCCACAAGGATATGTGGTTAAAAATAATGAGCACAAGGTGTACAAACTTCAAAAGGCCTTATACGGGCTCAAACAAGCCCCTAGGGCTTGGTTTAGCCGTATTGAGGCATATTTTATTAAAGAAGGGTTCACAAGAAGCAGATCAGAGCATACTTTGTTCATCAAGGCAACATCAGATGGTAAATTGTTGTTTGTAAACATATATGTTGATGATTTGCTGTACACAGGAAACGATGAAAGAATGTTGGAGGATTTCAAGTGCTCTATGAAAAGTGAGTTTGAGATGACAAATCTGGGAAAAATGAGATATTTCTTGGGAATTGAGGTGTTCCAAACTTCAACTGGAATTCATGTGTCACAGCAAAGATATGCAGTTGAAATTCTGACTCGTTTCAACATGTTGGATTGCAATGCAGTCGTGAATCCAATTGTTCCCGGTTGCAAGTTAAAGCTGGAAGAAGGTGAACCTGTGAATGAAACGCTATTCAAAAGTTTGGTGGGAAGTTTGATGTACATCACTACCACACGACCAGATATCCAGTTTGTGGTAAGCTACATCAGTCGATTTATGTCTAGGCCAACAGAGGTTCATTTTGCAGCTGCAAAAAGGGTGCTGCGCTACCTTCAAGGAACATTGGATTATGGCATTTGGTACAAAAGAGGAGGAAATGGCAGAATGGAGGTGTTTACAGACAGTGATTTCGCCGGCGATCAGAATGACTGGAAAAGTACATCTGGGTACTTGGTTCTGTGGGATGGAGCTGCTGTCACATGGTCATCAAAGAAGCAAAGTGTGGTTGCTTTATCCTCTACGGAAGCAGAGTACGTGGCAGCTGCAGCATGTGCCTGTCAAGTTATGTGGATACGAGGTATTCTTGAAGAACTCGGAATGAAGCAGGAAGATGGCACAGTGATCAAGTGTGACAACACTTCAACAATTAAACTTTCAAAGAATCCAGTTTTTCATGGCAGATGCAAGCATATTGAGGTTAGATTTCATTTCCTTCGTGATTTGGTTGGTGGAGGAACGGTTGAGCTGCAACATGTCAGTACTAAGGAGCAGATAGCAGATATTTTTACCAAGCCGTTGCATCGAGAAGTTTTTGTGAAGCTGAGGGAAAAGCTTAGAGTTTGCTCTCTTAAGGACAAACAAGACATCGATGTCTAGTTTGGGGGAGGGTTTGTTGGAGATTTCGACTGTTGCAAATAAAAGATTTCAAGAATAAAGCTAACTAGGCTTGCACGTGTGTTTTACCTAGTCTTTTGCTGTTGAGTAGTGGTTCCTATTTTCTTGTAGTGGTTTCCTATTTTCTTGTTTGGTTTGTT